GACTGAAAGGCGCCGTAGCTAACAGCCCTTTCAAGACGTGGTGGCATAGCTGCCCGCTTCTTATTTTGAACTGAGAGGTTGAGGGTTTAGGGCAGTGGTTCTCAACCTGTGGGTCAAGACCTCTGGGGGTCGAACAACCTTTTCACAGGGGTTGCCCGGTTCATAACAGTAGTAAAATTACAGTGATGTAGCAACAAAAATCACTTTATGGTTGGGGGTCACCACAACATGAGGAACTGTATGAAAGGGTCGCAGCATTAGAAAGGTTGAGAACGGAAAGCAAATGTTTTGAGAATGATGAGGGCAACAAATGTACAAAGGTGCTTGACACAATGGATGTGTGTATGGGTTGTGGTAAAAGTTGTACGAGCCCCCAATAAAAGGATTTTTTTTAAAAGGTTGAGAACCGCTGGTTTAGGGATTTTAGTGGGAAGGCACCCAGGCTCCCAGCTGATCACCTTCCAGCTGTATAACATCAGAGATGGCAGTTAACAATGAGGACATAGCAGCAGCTCAAGATCCTGTGAGGTGCTGCCCACCACCCCCCTCCATCTCATTTCCTGTCCACACCACCTCTTGAAACCTGGCACCTGCCTGACCTACTTTCCTGATACCTTACACCGGCAGCAGCCGGGTAATGGCTGTGGAGCTGAGCCCAGTGCATAGTGAGGGCTGTCGGGGACAACCGTGTCCCTATGCCAGGGTGGGACAATGGCTGGTCCAGAGAGAATGGGGACTTGTGCTTCCTCCAGCTCCTGCCCTTCTAGCAACTACACTCTAGACTGATGGGTTAGCTCCATTGGCAGGTGTCACAGCAGGGAACTGGCACCTTGGAGGCATGGCTGGCCATGTGGGCAGTGCAAGCAGTGCTCTTGAAAGCCTGTGCCAGCACTAGGGGTGTGGTGGTGGTGTGGGTTAAGCATTGGGCTGCTAGCCACAAGGTCGGCAGTTCAAACCCGCCACCAGCGGCTCCTCGGGAGAAAGGTGAAGCTGTTTACTCCCGCAGAGATTTGCAGCCTCAGAAACCCTCAGGAGCAGTTCTGTGTCCTAGAGGGTGGCCGTGAGTCAGAAAGGAGTCGACCGTAGTGTGTGCTCCTTGGAAAGCAACCACCTCTTGGTATCAGATGTCTAGCTCTACCTGCCCTGCCAGTGTGTGTGTTGGTGTCTGTAGGGTTCTCGCTGTTTGAAACTGAGAACTTTGGGGGCAGTCTTGTTTTGCTTTTTCTCCCTTACTTGATGCTTTTGGTTCTGAATAAGTTGGACTTGGGCCCTTAATGACCCTCAGCCTTTTTCCCAGGGAGGCAAGCTCAAAACTTAGTTACCAAATACTGCTTAGCCCAGTGGTTCTCAGCCTTCCAAATGCCACGACCCTTAAACACAATTCCTCATGTTGTGGTGACCCCCCAACCATAAAGTTACTTTCGTGGCTACTTCATAACTATAATTTTGCTACTGCTGAATTGGGTGACGCCTGTGAAAGGGTCGTTGGACCCACCCACCCCCAAAGGGGTCACGACCCACAGGTTGAGAACTGCTGCCCTAAACCATCCAGGCAGGGACACAAACCTCGCTGTCACAGCTCATCCTTGCTTGTTGCATTGGTCTTTCCTCCCCCTCCCCACCCCCCACCCCCAACTCACAAGGCATTTCTTCCCCAGGAGAGCACTGCTCTGTGCCAGCTTGGAGTCAGCTCCTTGGAAGGGCAGTGAGGAGATTCCCAGGCATCTGCAGTGTGATGACTGACAGGGTTTTCTCTGCAGGGTAAACAGATCAGAACCTCAGTCGGGTTTGTGACTGTGGGTGTTGTGAGTGGCCCGGGGGTGGTTTCAGGGTTGTTGGCATATACACAAGCCATAGATGGATCGAGATGCCAGACTGAGTGTGCTGCCATTCACAGGTGACAGACAGTTCCACCAGCAGCCAGGTAGCAGTTCCCACCTGGAGTGGAGCAAGCCTGGGCCAGCTTAGGGGGCCGTATGGGCAGGCAGCATGGTCTGCACTAGAGAGCAGAGCCTCCTTGCTCATAGAGGTAACCGTGCTTCTGGAGGGTAAAGCGCAGCTGCTAAGCTGGTGGTCAGTGGTCCAGGCAGGGACAGCTCTCCTGTGTCCTTTAAGTGAGTAGGAGTTGGAATCCACATGGTGACAGTGGGTTTCTGCATGTTTATGGTTAAGAAATAAAGTGGTTCCCTTTGCCTTGGTCCCCTGGGTCAGCCTGCTCAGTCAGGGGTGTCGGCCCAGCGAGGTTGGGCGCCTGATCAAGGCACAGGTGCGCCCTTTCCTGGTTTCTGCATGGATCACAGCTGTGCACTGTTCCGAGTCTGCCGGGTAACCTCCGAGACACCCTCTGCGACCTGGCTCTCCTGACCACGTGCCTTATTTCACCTCCTGGTGGCTCACATCAAGGCCTGCTGCAGCCAGGCCTGGCTGAGTGGGGTCTACTCGGCAGGAGGAGCTGCTGTGGCCTAGCAGCCAGGAGGGAGATCACACGTGACCACAAAGTCCAGGAAGAGGTGGCCCAGTCTTTACAAAGCAGCCAGGAAGCCCTGAGACCATCCAAAGTGGGGCTTTTTGAGCAGCCCCTGCCCCTGCCCGGCAGCCCTCTCTGCCCGGGGTTCCTGTCCTATTTGTTATTTGTTTTGTTTGAGGGTGAGCCAGGGGGGTGAGCTCAGTTCCAGCCTGCAGGATGACGCAGAGCCATAGTCTTAGGGCTCCACCAGTCTCTATGGCTATAAAGCCTGTTCTTTTTTAATGATTTTGAGGTTTGTTCCACATTTCCCCCTCCCACCCAGGACCGCCCCTGTGATCCCATCCAGACTGTCAGCCGCGGTGGCCTCGTACTACCTAGGTCTTCTGCTCTCAGGTCCCACAGGCTAGGGGTCACCTGGTCCATTGGCCCTTAGGCCTAATTATTTCTTTGCATCTTTGATTGTCGCCATTCTTCTTACCTCTAGACCAGTGGTTCTCCACCTTCCTAACGCCACGACTCTTTAATACAGTTCCTCATGTGTGGTGACCCCCCAACCATAACATTATTTTTGTTGCTATAAATTGTTGTTATAAATCGAGTGATCCCTGTGAAAGGGTCGTTTGACACGCCCCCCCTAAGGGGTCGGAACCCACAGGTTGAGAACCACTGCGTCTAGACTGAAAGAGACCAGTGGTTGCATATAGAGTGCTACTCACCAGCTTTGAAGAGCCCAGTTGCTACTGGCTGGAGTAGGAGGTAGACCATTGTCTTTGTGGACTGTGTGGTGCCGGTTGACCTAGATTTGATGTCCCTTGAAACTGGTCCTGAGCTTGGGGGTTGTTTTCTACGCCCCAGGCTGAGCCCACCCAGGCAGCTATGCCTCAGTGGGTTGGAGATGAGCGCTGCATTGGGAGGCTGAGAAAGACAGGTTTGTGGCGCCGCTGCTCAGAGAAAGTGCTGTCCCTCTGTGCTGACCTAAATGGCTGATGTTGGAGCTCTGATGTGATGGGCTAGCGTTTGGTCTTTTTTTTTTTTTGCTGTGCTGTTGGGACATGGCTGTTTTCTGCTCGTTTGCTCTCTGTAGGTGCTAAGGAAATGAATGTGTCTTGTCAGTATTCTCCCTGAGGTTGTGTTTCTAGTGTTGATCCCCGCCATTCAGAGAAAGCAGCACCGAGGAAACAGCACAGGAGGACCCCAGGTTTCAGCTTTGAGGGAGGGTGGGGTTTTTCCCGCATGGTTCTGTCTAAAGACACCACGTAGAACACTTGTACAAAACGCCAAGCCTCCCCAGTGTGCTCCCTCCCACCTGTTCTGAACCATAGGTTAGTGTGGGCGCAGGGTGTGGAGGGACAGGCTGGATCGGGCCCAATGAGGGAGTCTGGAGATCTTCAGTCCTATCTCCCGCCTTCTCATGGGGATTCATGCCTTCACGGCCTCTGCGCTAAGCCCTGGTCTCCCGAGTGCCACCAACTTTGCTGGCCCGCTTGGCCAGACGGAAGGATGGACATTGGATTCGGTTCTCCTCCGTGAGTCCCTGGCTCTTCACCACCGCAGACCTGAAGTGTTGGAGAGAATGTCTGCTGAGCTCACAGGGAGCTCACAGGGTGGCAGCATCTTGCTGACCAAGGTAGACAGCCTGCTGGTTCCTGGCGCTCCATCTCGCACTCCCAGGCTGAGGGCCTGCCCTGTCCTGAGGCACTGTCTCAGCTCCCGGGCCAAGGGCCTGGGCTGCTGTGCTCCTGCAGACCCAGCCTCGCACCCCCCAGTACAGCTCCCAGCAGGCAGCTCATCAGCACGGTCAGTGTGCAGAGACTTGCTGTGGACTCCCAGGAGAAGAGAGCCTCTCGCTTTCCTAGGTTGACACCGTGCATCAAGTGAGCAGTGCAGGGGAAACCAAGCCTCAGCCTGGCCATTTGAGAGCCGACCACCAGGAGAGAAGCCCCGAAGCCAGTTGCATTCAACAGTGTGGGCCTGGCTAGGAGGGTTGACCAGAAGTCCTGGAGCTAGCCACCTGCAGTCCCAGAAGGGCTGGGCGGTAAATGCCCAGGGTGCAGACACTTGTCTGTATGGCCCCGTCAGTGATCGCAGCCCTCATGCCACAGCTGGGGTTATAGACTGTGGTTTAGTCACCAGGGATGTAATTGGTACAAGCAAACTGAGGCGGGGTGGCTGCGCATATCCTAGAGAGCGGAGGGAGACAGTGCTGCAGGCCTTCAGCCCTGGTTCTATCCCTGGGTCTCACTTCTTGCTGCTGCCCAGGGGCCCATGTGCAGCCGTTTGTCCTTGGATGCTCCCGGGCAGCAGCGCCACCTCTCTGCTCTGAACAGGTGGGTGCAGGTGGTCATGCCCTGAAGGCTGTAAATGGATGCAACGTTGGGGAGGCTCCATCTAAATGGTCTTACTGGGGGGTGTTCTGCTCTGTGCTGTGCTGGTGGGTCTGCCTTGCTGGTTTCAAGAAAGTCCCTTTTCAGGCTCCCAAGTTTGGGGTGGTTGGGGCCAATGTAGTATGGCTAGCCCCTATCTCTTGTCTCAGTGCCTGGATCAAAGTGGAGCAGCTCAAGCCCTACCACGCACACAAGGAGGAGATGGTCAAGATCAACAAGGGCAAGCGGTTCCAGCAGGCCGTGGACGCTGTGGAGGAGTTTCTTCGAAGGGCCAAGGGGAAAGACCAGGTGAGGGGCCCTGCCTGCGCCAGGCCAGTGTCTTCAGGCTCGGAAAGCCGTGGGCCCTATGAAAAGCCAAGCAGAAAGCACAACTCCACCACTGTGGGACCCAAGTTCTATTGGGTTGGCTGGTGACTCACTTTCGGGAGAGCAGCCCAGGACAGCACAGAGGGTAGGAGTGGCCTTGGGGAGGCACTGTGTGCCCAGGGCCCAGTTCCTGGTAGCATAGGCAAGTGGCCTGGTTTTTCTCAAAGCTTCCCCAAAGGTCAGTAAACTGAGAGCATCCCTGTTCCCCCAGACTGCAGTGAGGTGCCCCTAACAGGCCTGCCCTGTCCATGGGGCTGATGGGTCATCACCATCTCACTGCACCCACAGACGTCCTCCCACGCCTCTGCTGACGACAAGAGCCGGCGGAATTCCAGCAGCGAGGAGAAGAGCCGGGCGGGCGCTGGGGACGAGAAGCGAAAGCTGGCGGAGGGGAAGGTGAAGAAGGGCGCAGGGGACAGCAAGAAGAGGGTGTCCTCGGGCTCCTCCGAGAGAGGCTCCAGGTCCCCCCTGAAGAGAGCCCACGAGCAGAGTCCCCGCAAGCGGGGGCGCCCCCCAAAGGATGAGAAGGTGGGTCCGGGTTCACCTCAGCCTCCATTTGGGGGCCTTCGCTCACTGGACTCAGTGCAGCCCCAGAACCCCACAGACCTCAGGCAGCAGGAACACGGGCCCTAAACCATCACAGACTCCAGCCAGCTCTGTGCTCCAGGAAGGGCTGTGGGGGGCGGGGGGAGGCAGCTCACCCACGGTCATGGTCAAGGTGGGTGCCTTCAGGACAAGGAGGGCACCCTAGTGGTGCACTGGCCTGCTACCTACCACAAGTCAGCACATGAACCCTTCGGCCACTCCGTAGGAAAAAGCTGAGGCAGTCTGTTTTCGGAAAGGCGGTGCTGCTCTGTCCCATAGGGTCGCAGTGGGTCAGAATCGCCTGCCAGCTCGCGTGCCCTCCAGTGCTAAGGAGAGTGGAGGGTCAGAGCAGGCAGTGACTGGTGGCAGAGCCTGGGGGCCCTCCAGCTGTGTGACGGTCCGTCTGAATGGTTGTCCAGGTGGGCTAAGAGCAGCGCTTGTTGCCTGGGTGGTACTGTAGAGCACCCCAGAGAGTTGCAGAAGAGCCAGCCAATAAGAAGGCCATGCCCGGGAGCTGCACTGAGAGGAGCATGTGAGGGCCACCTCTGGGTACAAGGTCAGGAGGCAGGCCGAGAACGAGGCTTGTAAAGGTGACAGCCAGCCCAGGACTCTCTTAGAACCACGCAGGGTGGCTTATGGGGAGAGCGGACCAGGAAGCGTGCCCGTCTGTGGCCAGGAGGAATTTGAAGTGATGTCTAGACACCCAGGGAGGCTGGATGACATCAGCTCTGGAGACAAAACTCATGAGCAGCAGGAGGGCCGCCTGAGGTTCCCGAAGCCTCGGGTGGGAGTGGGGGAGGCGGAGGCACAGGCACACGCTGGCAGCCTGTGGATGTTGGGGTACTGTCTACAGGGTTCCAGCCGACGTTGGCAGATTGTCTGTTTTTTCTTGAGAGAGGCTAGAAATACAGATCCTGTAAAAATCATCCAATTTTAAATGTTAGAAGCCAGTTCGAATTTTGAAAAAAACAGTATGGCTAAAAAAAAAAAAAATCCCTGTAGGCTAGACATTTCCTGGGGGCCAGAGAAGGCTCTCCTCCTGGGGGTTGAACTCTGAATCAGGAAGGTTACACAATTTAGTCAGCAGACAGGGCCCCAGGTGCTAGCCTCATGGGGGGCACAGGGGAGGACTGATGGATGTGAGAGGTGGTTAGGTGTAGACTGGCCCCGACCTACTATGGGCAGGCAAGCCAGCGCTTCTCCCTCTGGGCTCTTCCTTTTGCAGCTCTGGACGCAGAGCCTCCCTTCAGAGGTCCAGACAGGGCCGAGAGCAGGACTGGGCTTCCTGCCAGCTGGCCCTCCGTCCTTCCCCAGCCCACCTGGCCCCACAGGACCATGCCTACTAAGGTGAATTTTAATCCCATGCAGTTGAACACTGGCTCTTCAGTCACACCTGTTGCCTTTGAGGTCTCCATGGTGATGTGTTGCCAGTGAGTGCTCCCAGACAGCACAGAGATGAGACGCCCCCCAAGTCATCGCAGGACACCTGGGCCACTGTTCTTTCTGGGACTCTTGAGTTAACAGGGAGCCCTGGTGGTGCAGTAGTGAAGAACTTGGTTGGTGGTTCGAACCCAGCACCCATGCTGCTAGAGAAGGATGCAGCAGTCTGCTTCCGGTGAAATTTCCAGCCTCAGAAACCTCACAGGGCGCCTCTTCTACTAACACCGACTGAGTGCCTCCGTGCTCAGGCAGTCACATGACAGACAGGGGTCTCCTGTCTGCCTCTTGAGTGGACTTTGGTGCCTGCTGTGCGCCGGGCATACCCCTTGAGTGGACAAGGCTAGCAAAACACTGGCTTTCATCAAACTTCTCCTGAGACCTACAGATCCCAGAGCCAGAGTCACTAGGTTCTAGTCCACCTATCCTGTGCCCTCGGGCAAGGTTTTGAGCGAACTCTGCGCGTGCTCCTCCTGCAGCGGATGTGGTCCTGGCTCTGCCTTGGGCAGGGGCCTGCAAAGAGCTGGGCTAAGGCCACTGTAACCCACAGAGCTGCTAGTGTCCACCGCAGCCCCCTCACAGTGACCCCCACCTACACAAGACTTCCATGAGCAGGTGGTTATGGGAGCAAACAGCCGTAGCGTCCCCCAGGGAGTGGCTGGTCTTAGAAGTAGCAGCCCATTCTGAGATCATGTAACTGCCATCCAGATGACCTGACTCGCAACGACTTGGCTTTCAAGGCTGAGCCTTTTTATAGGGCCAGCCAGCCTCGTCTATCCGACAAGTAACCACAGTGCCACTAGGACATCTTCTGCTCTAATACAGTGACATTTAAATAGCAGGGTCTTGGAGCAAGAGAGTGCCCCAGGTGCATGCTAGGAAGAAAAGGGTCTGAGAGGTGCTAGAGTGAGGGGTACTAGTGAGCTGAGGAGCGGCAGAGCCTGGGAACATGGTGGCCTCAAGACCTTTGGGAAGACAGTGGTTGAATATTTGGTGGGGGGGACCAGGAGTACACTGGGGTGACTCAGAGGTGCCCACCAATGCCCACGCTTTCTGAAGCCAGATCTGTTTTTTGAGCCGCAGGGATTTTCTCTGCCCCTCATTGGGGACATTACAGAGTCGGGGGCAGGAGGCACTCCCTGATGATGAGGTGTGGCTAGAAGGCATGCCCTTGCCCTCTGTTAATGGGCAGCCATCGGGTGTACCCTGACACGAGCGTCTTAACTCTGAATTTCCCTTCTGCAGGATCTCACCGTGCCCGAGTCTAGTACCGTGAAAGGCATGATGGCTGGACCGATGGCTGCATTTAAGTGGCAGCCGACTGCCAGTGAGGTAATGAGTGAGGTAATGCCCTCTCATGCCGGCCCAGCTGCCTCCCTCTCTGCATGAGGCCCTGCCTTTCCCTCGGGAAAGGCTTTCTGAGTGTGTAGGTCCAGGGCCGTCGCTGTTGGGTTTGACATCACCGATCCCAGACCCTAGGGGACGCCCACTCAGCAGTTACGTAATGCACAGTTTTGTTCTGAAAGAGAACAAGGGGCGGGGCTTAATAACGGTGAGGTCGTACTGCAGAATTTTCCCCCACTGAATGCTTTTGGGCTCTTCTCTCTGCCTGTGTCTTCCTTCCCAGAGCCGCTGCTGCCCTTTCACCCTGTTGCCGGGCATGATGGGAAGGCACTTCTATCTAGACCCATGGTTCTCAGCCTGTGGGTCATGACCCTTTTGGGGGTCGAATAACCCTTTCACGGGGTTCACCCAATTTATAACAAGTAGCAAAATTACAGTTATGAAGTAGCAATGAAAATAATTTTATGACTGGGGGGTCACCACAACATGAACTGTATTAACGGGTCACAGCATTAGGGAGGTTGAGAACCACTGGTCTAGACCATAAGGTGGGCCACTCAGGCTCTGAGACCGGACAGAGGCAGCCCCTAAAAGTGGGAGAGCTCCCAGAATTAGTCTTGCTGTGTCTGCAGGGTTCTCTGAACAACGTGTGCACTGAGCTAAAGCAGTGCCAGGAAGCATCCTGTTTCTCTCCTCTCACATGGTGGTTGACGTAACTCACACGAAGCAGTGTACCCTCTGGGACACCGGCAATGTGTAGGGGATTCCGGCCAGTGGGGCAGCAATTCCAGATGGCAACAAAAGAGAAGGCAGATGCCTGAGGAGTCTCGGGTGACAGGCAGGGCAGGAGTGACCTTTCATGAGAGCTTGTTTGTTTCACATGACCACTTTCTGGTTTCAGCCTGTGAGAGATGCAGACCCTCATTTCCATCACTTCCTGCTCAGCCAGACCGAGAAGGTGAGCGGTGCTGGGGCTGGGGCCTGAGAGAGAGGGCTGAGGAGTAAATCTGGTAGCACACGGGGCTGCTAACCACAGGGAGCCAGCTCAAAACCAACTACTCCCCAGGAGAAAGGTGTGGCGGCGGGAAAATGACAGGCTTAGGAACCTGAGGGAAGCTCTGCTGGGGGCCACAGGGCACTTTGGGCTTTGGGGTGGCTAGATCTGGATGCTCGGCCTACTTTTATGATGATTTGCTCTGTAACCAGGGCGTGTGGCTTGGGAAATGGGCCAAGCTGTGGACAGTGAGGTGCTCAGTGTAATTTTGAGTCACCAGTGTGTTATTTGGACTTGACACCAAACTGGTATGTGATGGGACTGTCTACTGTGGGTCCAGCCAGGTCAGGAAATGCTCTCTGCACTCAGGAGGGTCCTGTAAGGGGGAATTCCTACGAAACCCTCTTAGAGCTTGGTGTGTAACCCGCCATCTTTTCCCTCCTCAGCCAACTGTCTGTTACCAGGCCATCACAAAGAAGTTGAAGATATGTGAAGAGGTAGGTGGGGTTCGCAGCGCCCTAGGTCTGCATGTCTCACCTGGTGCCCACCCATAGGCAGCTGGCCCCATGCTGTGATTCCTTTTCCCTTCTTCCCCCCCCCCAGGAGACCGGCTCCACCTCCATCCAGGCGGCTGACAGCACCGCAGTCAACGGCAGTGTCACGCCAACTGACAAAAAGTACGCCCTGCGCCGAGGTGCACTTGAGGAGTGGGCTCTTCCTTAGGAATTGTGCTAGCCTCCAGGGACAGGGGCCATTTGAAAAGATGACAGTAGCTGTATGGAGTCAAAAGACAATGCGAGGTGCAAGTGGACAAGCAACCATTGGGTTGCTAGAGCTGAGAGACTCCACGTCTGACGTGAACACCACATGCTCGCCCAGAAACCCAGCAGATCCTGTATGGTCTTAGGGTGGGAGTAGACCTGTAGCAGAGGGACAGTCCCTGGGGAGGCCTGGAGAAAGGGGCCACTAGAAAGGAGTGCTGGCAGAGGCTGTGGGATGAGGCCATTGCCTATGTCCGCAGGAGCAGTGGGGGCGGGGAGGCCCTCGCAGGCCAGGTATGGAGTTGGGAAAACAGGGTCCAGAGCAGGAGGTAGAAGCTCAAGTTCGACTGTGAGTCTGGGCTGCCAAGTCCTGATCCTGGGGTGGATCTGAAGCCCCACCCCTGGGCTGCTGAGCCAGCTGCTGGTCTGGAAACGGGCCATTGACAATGGCACGATGGGAAATGGCCAAGGCCAAGTTGTATAGACGCAGCTGGGCAGTGGGGTACCACACCGACAGCCTCACTCTGTTTCAGGATAGGATTTTTGGGCCTTGGCCTCATGGGAAGTGGCATCGTCTCCAACTTGCTAAAAATGGGCCACACGGTGACAGTCTGGAACCGGACTGCAGAGAAGGTGAGTCCCCCGGGTGGGGCCTGGGGCTGGGTGGCTAGGTGCCCTGCCCTTAGTCAGAGCAGGTAACAGTGTCAGTTCACGCAGGGCTTCGGGAAGGTGATGGAAGATTCCATTCTCTCCATTCATTTTTCTGTGAACTTTCTGAATAGGGTGTGGATTGTTATTGGAGACTGCATAGAAAGATCCCCAGAGATACAGAGTGACAGGAAAATGCTCATTCCTTGCTGATCTGTTACCTGAGGTAGCTACTGTTAGGTGTTTGTGCCCGTTCCTCCACCTTTCACGCATATGCAAATACTTGCAGGTGAGTCATTCAGTCTTCCTGCTAGCATTCCAGATCTCAAACACGTGGTCTACACCTGGTTCCCCCAGAAACGGGTTTGTATGGTCTCAGGATACCTTCCACAAAACAGTCCAATCAAAACAGGGACCTGCTGGGCCAGTGGAATGCAAGGCAGGAAGTCAGCTTAGAAGGCTAGGGGCCTCCGTGGAGCCATCTGGATAGAGACTCTAAAAGGACACAGGATGGTCGCAGAGGCTCAAGAAAAGGCTGGAAGAGTGGTGCCAAGGGATCAATGTTCAACTCAACACTGCCTGCTTATGCTACCCACTCTGCAACCCAGACCTTGTATAATGTGACGGCGATGTCCCCGTCCTGTCTCCCTGCCCCCCACCCGGTGTCTTTTGGTTCCTAAAACTTTGAGCAAGCACATTGAAAGGGGTGAGCATTTGAGCCCCTCTAGGAAGCCTTACTGCTGAATGCCTGCTGTAGAGGCTCAAGACAAGTCGCTGATGGAGATGTGTGACATCGGCCTATGCAGGGATGAACTGGAGCTCTGGTGGTGATAGTTTCTGACTGGCATGCTGGCGAACACCCGGTTGTGACGAGCGCGTGCACACGCGTGGTGTGCATAGATAGAGCTGCATTGTTCCTGTCCGTGGCCGCAGTGTCCCTGTGTCTGTTGAACAGCACTACCCTCTGGAACTGCAGTTCTCAACCTGGGGATCGCGACCCTGTGGGAGTGAAGGACCCTTTCACAGGGGTCGCCCGATCCATAACAGTAGCAAAATTACAGTTATGAAGCAGCAACGAAAATAATTTTATGGTTGAGGGTCACCGCAACATGAGGAACTGTTTTAAAGGGTTGAGGCATTAGGAAGGTTGAGAACCACTGCTCTAAAACATTCCGTGGCTCTCTCGGCTGCCCACTGTTGCAGCCACGAGTCACAAGGAGCTGAGACCTGGCTAAAGTAATTTTATTTATGGTTTTTATTACATTTAAAAGGCCTCAGGAGGCTGGGGCAGGGTGGCCCTGGACAGCACACAGGTGTAGCAGGGCGGGCCGTGGCTTCATCCACCCCGCAGGCCTAGGTGACTCTGGGATGGTGGGCACCCAGTGCAGGCACAGTACAGCAGTCAGGCAGTTGCCAACACCCAGCAAGAGTGGCAGAGCTGCTGACACCCACTAAGTAGGAGCTCCTAGGCAAAGGCAGAAACTCACTTAGCTGCCAAAAGTCATTTCCCAAAGTCACGAGGGAGAAAGGGTGCTGAGGGCTGAGCAGAGGAGGGTGGTGTCAGGCTCAGTGAGGCCCCAGTGGTGGCTGCCTCACAGTGCAGGTACTCCTGTTGCCCACGGCCGGTGGGTGGCAGGGTCAGATGGTTTCCCTGGCTTGTAAGTGCCCCTGCTGTGGGGAAGCCCCAGTGGTAAGGAGGGCAAGTGGAGAGCTGCAGCGAGGACTCAGCAGCCCAGAAGTCTGTGCCATTTAGCCAGCAGTGTGTCCTTCGGGGGCAGTAGACAATCGGTGCAGTCCAACACTGCCCCCTCCGCTCCTCGAGTTCTCGTTAGCTTTTACCAGCCTGCTGCGGTGAACTCGGTGACAATTGCAGGTCATTTTCTTTAAGGGCACTGACAAAAAATTTTTCTCTGGTTCATGTGGAATAATACATTAACCACCCCCACCAAGTGAATTCCAATTCATAGTGACCTTGTATAGGGTTTCCCAGGCTGTAAATCTTTTTGGATGCAGACACCCTCATCTTTGTTCTAAGGAGCAGCTGGTGGGTTTGAACAGCAAACCTTGAAGTTAGCAGTTGAATGCTTATCTGACAGTGCTACCAGAGGTCCTTAGAATAATAAAACAAGAAACTTTTTTTAAACTTCATTGCTAATTAGGTGAAGGTTTCGTTGGGTAATTCTGCCCAAGATCTCTTTAAAGTGTTGGAGGAGCGTCGATGTCACTTTGAGGACTAATGTGCATCTGACCCAGTCACCTCTATGCATGTGGAAATTGAACATTGAATAAGGATGACCAAGGAGGAATTGTGTTTGAATTATGGTGCTGGTGAAGAATATCAGAAATACCATAGTCAGCCAGAATGCACTTTCGAAGAGCAGACAACAAGACTGTTTCTCACGCATTTTGGACAGGTTGTCAGGGGAGCCCAGTCCCTGGAGAAGGGCATCCTGCTTGGTGAAGTTAAGGGGCAGGGAAAGAGAGGAAGGCCCTGGCTGAGAGGGACAGGCACTGTGGCTGCCACAGTGGGTTCAACATAAGAACAGTTGTGAGCACGCGCAGGACCGGGGTGGGGTGGTTTATTCTGTGCTGCATGGGATCCCTATGGATCTGACCCCACTCGCCGACATCTCACAGGGGAAGGTTTACAGAGCACTAAAAAGCCTTTAGGGCCAACAGACATCAGACAGACCGCCTAGGACTCACTCAGGCCAAACCAGCATCCCTGCAAATCAGTCAAGCCGAATAGAGGGTTGGTCACTACACTGGGCTCGGTTAGGAAGCAACTTGGGGGGATATTCATCTCTGTCCCTGCCACTGAGTGCAGTGACTCACTCAGGTCATGCTTTCAAGAAGAGTCATCAAAAGAAAAGAGCGTATTCCCTTAAGTCTTCATAAGCACACAAGCAGAGTCCCACACACCCCACGCCAACCCAGGCTGAGCAGCAAAGAGGGCTTTCTGCGCCTGGGTGAGCACGTCTCCCAGTCACTCAGGCACCACCACTCCCAGGAGGAGGTACACAGCACGCAGAGATACAAAGGGGGCGCCAAACCAGGTTTGGGCTGCCCAAGTGATCACATCGGCAACGTCTGCAGTGTGTGTGTGCGGGCCTGTGAGTGGTTCTGAAGTGGCGTCATTGGAAACCTGCTGAGACTCATTATGGACTGTCCCTGCCCCATGTGGGCAGCCATCTGTGTTAGTGTCATCCGAGCTTGAGCCTCCTCCAGGTTTCCTTCTGTGGAGACCACCCCCAGAAGGAGAGAAGAGAAGTTTGATACGCAAAGGTGTCTGTTGGTGTGTCATACTCCAGTGGAGGTGTGTCTGAGTGGAGAGCTGGCAGGTCTCCTCTATCAACAGCAGTCTAACCAAAGGCTGGACCAGAATCAGACCAAACTCACTGCCCTTGAGCCCAGAGTGCCCTGGTAGGTAGGTAGGACAGGATAGAACTGCCCCTGTGGGCTGCCAAGGCTATATATAACTCTTTGCAGGAGTAGATAGCCTCCACTTTCTCCTATGGAGCAACTGGAGCTTTTGAACTGCTGACCTTGCAGTTAGCAGTCTAGTACGTAACCCACCGCACCGCCAGGGCTCCCTGAAGGTGGCAGCAGTGTGAGTGAATGTGAGGCATACACAATGCAAGGATTGACCGATGGCAGACACTTATTCTTGTTACCTGGCTAAATGTCGGGGGTGGGGGGTGTGGGGGAGAATAAAAGACTAAGGTGCTGTTTTGTCGCAGGATGTCCTGGGCAACCTTAATTATTGGGAAAGGCTAGCACTTTCAGCCCCCAGGAAGCCCCCTCCCAGTGAGGAAAGCTTCTGGGAGTAGGGGGGGTGCCTTGTGCTGTGTTCTCCAAACAGCAGAGAAGCAGCAGGTGGGCCCAGCCACCAGAACCCCTTCCCTCTCAAAGGCCCCAAGCAGCTCTGGGACCCGGCTCTTAGTGTCAGCCTGCCCTGCCCACCTCAGGACACGGTGAGGGGTGGTCCCTGAGTGCCCAGCCTGGCTGGCATGTTTATTGTGCACAGCCTGCGGCTCATGTTGGCATCTGTGACTTTTGCAGTGTGATTTGTTCATCCAGGAGGGGGCCCGCCTAGGAAGGACCCCCGCTGAAGTCGTGTCGACCTGTGACATCACCTTCGCCTGCGTGTCGGACCCAAAGGCAGCCAAGGATGTAAGGATTACCCCCACCCCAGCCGCCACAAGCCTCTGCTGTGGGCCACCTGCCCCTCCCTTGTCCTCTGCACACAAAGCAAGCTTCCTCAGCAGCAGGCTGCGTTCCCGTCAGGGCCAGCAGACCTCAGCCTTCCTTACTCAGAGCAGTGGCTGTGAGCCACCAGGGCCCAGAAAGCTGTGTAAAGAAGTCTTGTCCTCCTGAGGCCCTGCACGTGCCGGGCCCAAGCGTCCTTTTGGTCCACGTGCCAAGTTCTTGTGTCACACTCGTGCCGTATGTTTGTTCTAAAGTTCAGACCGGGAGGAAATGGACTTCTAACCCAGAGAAGCCAGAAAAAATAAACACCGGCTTCCTTACTTGGACAATTTTTCATGAATAGAAACACACACAAGCACGTATTCAGTTTGAAGATGATAAGGAAACATTCTGCAATACTTTACTTACCCTTGCTCCTTTCATTGCTCTTCCCTTTGCAGTCTCAGCGGCAGCTACTCATTGGGCAAAGGGCCCACAAGGCTGCTGAGTTGGGGTGGGAGGCTTGCCGGGAGCCTGGGCTATTGCTTCTCCCTGTCCCCACAGCTGGTGCTGGGCCCCAGTGGAGTGCTGCAAGGGATTCGCCCCGGGAAATGCTACGTGGACATGTCGACAGTGGATGCAGACACAGTCACCGAGCTGGCTCAGGTAGCCCCCTGGTTTGGGCAGCCCCTTCACTCCCCTTTCAGTGGGATCCCTGGACAGAGTGGCCAATCCAGCATGGGCCCCCACAGTGGCCCGAGTCGGGAAGGGCAGTGCCAGGCAGAGGGCGGTGAAGCTAGTGTCTGGAGACACAGGGTCAGTGGTTTGTGCATCTGTAAAGCATAGTGGGCCGTCCAGCCTGTGACCAGCTCTGGAACATCAGTCCTTTGGCCTATTTTGGTGTGATGAGAAGCCATGTCCCTTGGTGAGAGGCCATACTGGAGGGCCCCTGCTTCCTGCCCCATGTGTCCCCTGCCTCAAATGCCGGGGCTTCCAGGAGTTCTGACCTTCCTTTCCAGGTGATTGTGTCCAGAGGGGGACGCTTTCTAGAAGCCCCCGTCTCAGGGAACCAGCAGCTCTCTAACGACGGCATGCTGGTGATCTTAGCAGCCGGGGACAGGGGCTTATATGAGGACTGCAGCAGCTGCTTCCAGGCCATGGGGAAGACCTCCTTCTTCCTAGGTAATGGGCCACCCACGGCGTGCTGCATCTGCCCACGCCTAGACCAAGCTGACCACCACTGGGGTCCCGGGGGAGGTATCTCCTGACCTGCAAGGAGGAAGAACCAGTCCCCTCGGGCCGGTGCGTGGGGCCTCCCCTAGTTGTATAGATGGGACTCCAGGGCTGGGGGCTCCGGTGGCCCCTGTTTGTGGAGCTCCTGGGCAATGACCTCTGTTTCTGCAGGGGAGGTCGGCAACGCTGCCAAGATGATGCTGATTGTGAACATGGTCCAGGGAAGCTTCATGGCCACAATCGCTGAGGGCCTGACTCTGGCCCAGGTGACAGGCCAGTCCCAGCAGACACTCCTGGACATCCTCAATCAGGGACAGTTGGCCAGCATCTTCCTGGACCAGAAGTGCCAAAGTAAAATTGTCTTGGGCCACTCTGCACATTGGCCTAGTAGTCCGTGTTGGGGCCGGGGAGGCGGGTAGGGCAGGGGCAGGCTGCTGTTTCCTAGGGGTTAGAAGGCCTCTCCATGTCTGTCCATCCTGCCCCTAGGACCAGGACTTCAGCTGGGGGGGTGGGGGCAGACCAAGGGCTTGGGAGCTGAGGGGGAGGCTGGCCCTGCTACTGCAGCAGACTTCTGCCCGCCTGTGGCCTTTCCTCTCTGCCTCAGACATCCTCCAAGGGAACTTCAAGCCGGACTTCTACCTGAAGTACATCCAGAAGGACCTGCGCTTGGCTATCGCGCTGGGCGATGCTGTCAACCACCCAACTCCCATGGCCGCCGCAGCCAATGAGGTACCAGCTCCTGGAGGCACCTCTCTGTCTGCCTGACCAACTTACCAATGTCATGTCCGAAGGGGACACTTAACAGCTTGGGGAGTTTCTTTCTGAGGCCTTTAGCTGGCTCAGAAAGGGGTTCTTTGGTTTACTTCTCAATGGGGTGCTGGGGTTTCTTAAGAAATTTGATGATCTCTTAGGTTCATGGGTGACTGGTCTCTGGTCCCTTTGTTGTCACTGATGTGGCTGCATGGGAGTTGCGGTTGCTCCAGATTCCTGCTGCTTGTCTGCTCCTATAACTCTCTCCCCCATCTTGGCTCCTTTTGGGTAGTTGGGATGATTTTCAGCTGGGTCTGTGTACTACTGTGCCAGTGGGAGCTCTGCAGGTGACAGTGTGTGGCCATGACGCTTCAGTCAGCTGACAGTGAGGACAGACGCCTCTCAGCCTCCGTCCCAGTACATTTTGTGATGGGGGGCGGGGGGTGGGGAGATAGACAAGGCTCCGTGAATTGTGGCCTTACGCTGCTAGAACACAGTTATGCCCCTCAATGGCGGCAGCCCAAAGGTCTGCAGGTTGTACCATGTTTCTTGGGGGCTCGGCATGTCGTGAGCTGAGAACTGCTCTAAGGAAGAGATTGATGCCTCTGCAGGTTGTGTCTGCATGCGTGCGTGCGTGTGTTAGCATACCGAGGAGATGCCTCTCTTCCTTCATTGTGAGCGTACTTTCCTGTGCGGCCTCAAGTCCGGAGTGTTCGTTGCCTTTAAGTCTTTGTTCCCTAAGCCTGCTATCTTGGTCTCCTCGGTGGTGAGCCTTTGTTGCTATGTGAACATAGAGTCCCCCTTTGCTGGGTGTCCATGGACCAAGTTCTTTAGGGAGACGTCTTGGACCATGTCACTGACGGCTCTCGATGCTGGCCAGTTCCATGAAGAGTTCACCTGCTTGGACTTGGTTCTGGTCAGGCTGCAAGTGTGGCTCCAGAGCCCACCAGAGAGTTGGACCCCTCTCTAGGGTCCACCCTGCCCTCCACCACTAGTGGCCACAGACGAGCTGCTGTGCCTGGGTAGGCCAGCCTGTCTTCAGACCAACCCAGCCATGGAACCCACTGCGGTGGCAGCAGGCTTGGCTGAGGGGGCCTCTATGCTGCCCTGGCCTTCTTGTTACAGCGAGTCCCCAAAGTCACATCCTGTCCTCTCGGTGCACTGGGGGAGAGTCAGCAGAGTCTCTGAGAACAGCCGCTTTCACTCCCCCACCCCAGTCCTGGCCTCCTTCAGGACTCCAAGCCCGGTCAAGCAGACCTCCCCTCAGCTCTTGTGTGGCCCTGGAGCTGCTGACCTCAGGCCAGTGGTGGGATCTGGGCTCCAGAGAAGGAGGGCCTTGGCTGACTCTCCACCTCCCCCACCCCTTCAGGCCCAATCGGATTGCAGAGAGAGCCTGCAGATCAGGTGACTGAGGGCACTAGGCCCTTCCAGTATTGACACCAGAGCCTGAGTTGTGGCCCCACTTGCCGCTGTTGAGAACAGAGACGCATGAGCAGAAGGCCCTACTGCACAGCCACTCTGTGCCACAGCTGAATGCTAAGCACCAGGTCCCCTCTGGCTTCTGGGGCCATGCTGGCTTGCTGTCCTTCCCTGCTATGGGAAGCTGGCACAACATAGGCACAGACACTTAGTGAGAAACCCGATTTAGAAAGAACAGACCCGCCCGAGACTAGAGCTATAGGTCCCTGGGAGGGGGCAGAGAAGGCCCAAGAGGTGAGGGCATTGCTATCACCACATGCTGACAGTCCATGGGCACACATTCCTGTGTGATTGAGGGGGCGGTGAGGGGGAGCTCCTTGTTACAGACAATGCTGGGAGCCAGGGTCCTCGTCTGGGTCTGCTCCAGGCCCAGAGCTGATACCCAGTTCCTGTCCTCCAGGTGTACAAGCGGGCCAAGGCCCTGGACCAGTCGGACAACGACATGTCTGCCGTCTACCGAGCCTACATACACTAAGCTGCCAGCGCCCCGGACCGCCCCCCTGCCCCAACCTATCTCCATTCCCTTTTCTACAGACTCTGAGACTGGCCACCCTGCAGCTCACAGACCTGCTCCCCTGGAGGCCCAGGAAAGCAGGCTGATAGCCACCGTGGTTTATGGGAAAGCTCTGGAGCTGGGTGCTGAACACTGGACTCAATGGTCTCTCTCATACACACGTGGGCACGTGCGCACATACACACATGTGCACGCACAGAGCCTCTGGGCCCAGGATAGAAACTGTACTCTGCCCCTTCCAGCCGGGGACCAAGAGTCCTAAGTGAGAGCTGGCAGGTGCCTCTCAGTTCTCCAGGAGGAGGAGGCTGGAGTCCTCATCCATCCCCCACACCTACTCCAAGACCCTTGCTGGGAGAGGCAGTGGTCCCAGACAGGCCAGTGAGCATCCAGAGTACAGGTCCCATGGGACCATCCACCCCAGCGGTCCAGCTGGTGAGGACGCTGCTGTGGAAGCCCTGGGTGTGCACCTCTTCTGGGTCAAAGCCTTTGTGAGTGCATGACTAGAGGCCAGCGGAGCCTGGTGAGTGCCACCCTCCCCAAGGCCCTGGCCTGGCCCTAGCTGGAGTCCACGCTCACCAGTGTGGTCCTTGCCAAGCTGAATGTATGCACTGCAGTCCAGCCTTTGGGAGCAGAGGCCTGAGGGTCACTGAGGGGGAGGAGTATACAAACTGCCACTGCAGCTGGAGAACCCTCTGACCTGGCCCTTCTCTGCACACTTCCCGCATGCTGCCACCCCTCCTCCAGGGACAGGCTTTCTGTCCCAGCTTTGGCCCAGACCCAGCCTGACCAGCCATTCCTTGGGACAAGACCCAGTATCTTCCTCCAGCCAACATCTCGGGCTCTGGGGTCCTCTGGAGCTCAAGGAAGAACCGAGCCTCCTGGAAGGCCAGCTCAGCCCCCTGGAGGTCCCCTTGGACGGGACCAGAGCAGGCCTGGAGAGTCTCAGAACAAGAAGTCTTTGTTTAAGGGTGCCCGGTCCTCTGCTTTGCCTGGTGGGCTTCCCCAAAGTCACCGTTGGCAGGAGATCAGCATTTATAGGGAGATATGTAACTATATATATATGTATATGTGGGGCCCTGCCCCTACAACCCTGGCCCATATTTCACTGGTGGGATGACCTGAGGCCATGGGGGTAGGGGTGGTGCATCTGGGGGTTAGGGCATCCTTTGTAATTTCACTGGGTTTGAACCCTTTTCCAACCGGAGGCAACCTGTTTTAGGCCTGGCCCGACACACTGGGGTGGGGGATGGGGGGCAGAGGGAAATGCTGTAATAAAACTGGTTGGTCAATGTTGTCTTAATGTTGGAAATTCTGTAAAGTTCCTTTTTATGACTATTTCTGTTTAAGCTATTTCACCTTTGTTTTGAAACCCTTCCCTTTTTAAGGAGAAAATGTGACATGTCGAAAAGCTTGTAAGAAAAGCCCCTCTCCCACTCCCACGCTTTTTCCTTTCACCCTCCCTTAAATGACAAATCTTGGTAATTGAGGTTGTGAATTTTTATTTTTGCTCTGTTTTTAATGAACACTTGTCTTTCAGAATAGGATTGTGTGATGTTTAAATTGAAGAAAAACGATTTTGTGCAATTAACAAAAGCTACTGCAAGAAAATAAAACATTTCTTGGTAACAGCTGTGCAGTGTCAGGGCGCGGGTCTGCCGGGGAGGCGGAGGGACCTGGTGCGGGAAGCCGGCGCGCGTGACCCGGGGGCGGTACTCGGGCTCCGCCCCGGCCAGTGGCCGAGCGCTTCAAGGGCCAATCGCCAGGTGCGGCGAAACGTAAGCGTTCCGCCGTTGGCCAATCGCTGGGTGCGGGTGAAGCGGAGCGCCCTTATCAGAACGGGGGAGAGGCGGGACAAGCGGCCGGGGGCGTCCAGCCCACCACGGACGCAAATACGAAGCCGGCGGCGTCCCAGACAAACAGGCCGGAGCTGGGGTCGCGTAGCTGCCGACGGAAAGCCCTAGGCGCTCACTCGTCAGCCTCGCTCCGAGTGCCCGCAGGTCTCGTGAACCGGACGGTCCGAGAGGCCCCGGCCAATCGCCGGCCGGGAGACCGCCTGGGGGCTGGGCCTGAGCTTGCCGGACCAACCAACGGCCAGGCAGAGGGCGGGGCCTGCGGCGGCGGTCCAGCTCCGGCGTTCGGCGGCGGGCGGCGATGGCGACGGCGATGGCGGCGACAGCGGCGGAGCGCGCGGTGCTGGTGAGGCGCGGCCGGGGCCCGGGGCCGGGGGCCCGCGCCCCTTGTCCTGCCGCTGAGCGCGTCCTCTCCCTCCAGGAGGAGGAGTTCCGCTGGCTTCTGCACGACGAGGTGCACGCCGTGCTCCGGCAGCTCCAGGACATCCTCAAGGTAACGCCTGCGGGGCCTCCAGCTGGCGCGGAGCCCGGGCCAACGCGCGCGGTGCGCACCCAAAAGGTGGGCCGTTCTAACCCATTCTGCGGTTCTGAGGGAGAAAGGGCTGTCGATCTGCGCCCGGAAAAACTAGCACCCTGCCCACATAGCGACCCTATGGACAGAGTGGAACTGCCCCGGTGGGTTTCCGAGACTGTGAGTCTTTATGGGAACAGACAGCCTCCCTTTGGGACAGGCTTTCTTCCTCGGAGCGGCTGGTGAGTTCCAGGCGGCCAGCTTGCGGTCAACAGCCTAGCCCTTAACCCGCTGCGAAAATTACAGCCTATCAAACTCTGTGGGCAGTAGACAGTACAGGGGCTGCCAAGCCCAGTGAAGGAAATCCACCAGCAGAGGCCACGTGTGTTGGGGCACAGCTTCGTTGAAGAGGTGACTTTTAATTCCAGCACTGGAGGCTCTCCGCCTGCAGGCAGTAGTGTGACCTCAGCCGGTAGCCCAATCCCTGGGGCTCTGTCTGCTCATTTGCAAAGAGCACAAACCGGAGACGTCTGCCCCTGGGCTGTTGTGCAGATAAATGAGGCAGGTCCTGCTGAGCCAGAATTGCTAGTTACTGTTACAGTATCCCCAAGGAGCCCTGGTTCCTGTTGGGCGTTGGGCTGCTAACCTTTTTAGCAGTTCAAAACCACTAGCCACTCTCCGAGAGAAAGACAGGGCTTTCCATTCCCATTATGGGTTACAGCCCCAGAAATCCACAGGCCAGTTCTACCCTGCCCTGTGATACCAACAAGTCGGCATCAACTCCATGGCAGTGAGTTCATTACAATATCCCAAGCTCCCTCCAGCGGTTCCATGATTGGGCACACAGTAGGTGCTCCCTTAGGGAAGGGTTCTTAATGAACTCTCACCCTGCCCTGCCCCCTCTGCTCTGCAGGAGGCCTCTCTCCGCTTCACGCTGTCCAGCACAGGCACCGAGGGACCAGCCAAGCAAGAGAACTTTATCCTGGGCAGCAGTGGGTGAGCCCAGGCCGCAGGGCGGGACTGTGGGCTCCTGGAGGACCCTGGTGGGAGGGGGCGCAGGAGCAGGTGTCACCGTGACCCCTATCTGTTGCAGCTCCGACCAGGTGAAGGGCGTGCTAACTCTTCAAGGGGATGCATTGAGCCAGGCGGTAAGTCCCCACCCAACCCCTTCCCCTCTACCAGCTGGGAAGGCCATGGGGGTCTCTCATGTATTTCAACCCTACTGTTGGGCTGCAGATCACAAGGTCTGTGATTCAAAAGCGCCAGCCGCTCCTTGGGAGAAAGGCAAGACTTTCTTCTCCTGTAAAGAGTTACAGTCTTAGAAACCCAGGGGCAGTTGTACTCAGTCCTAGAGGGTCCCTATCAGTTGGCATGCATTCGATGGCAGTGAGTCTAGTTTGGGTTCAGTGTAGCTCTGAGGAGCCCTGGTGGCACAGTGGGTGATCCATTGGCCTGCTAACCACAAGGTCAGCTGTTAGCACCCCACCACTCTGCTCCCAGAAAGAATCACATTCTTGAAAAACCCCAAGGCAGTTCTACTCTGTCCTGTAGGATCGCTGTGAGTCAGCCTTGTCTAGTGGCAGTGAGAGGTGGGAGGAGTTGGCGCTGGACAGGGCCCTGGGCCTCGGTAATCTCACTGCACCTGACAGCCTAGGGCAATATTCACACTCGGTATAGGGGTCTGGCCCAACATCCGGGAACCAGGCTGGCGCCTGCACCATGCTAAAGAGGCCCCTCGCTAGCCTGCAACATTCAACCTTTAGTAACTGTACCCGTTTGACCACAGTCGCCACCTTCTCCCAGCTGAGGCCACCTTCCTCTTTCACCCACCCTTCCCTTTCTCTGCCACTCTCCCGTCTCCCCTCAGGCCTTCTCTGGGGTCTTCGTTCCTAGTGCCCCAACCACCCCCTTCACCCTCCAAATGGCCCAAGTTAGGCGACCCTTGTTGGGGTTGGGGGGAGCTAAGAACTGCGCCACCACATACAGCCTACTTCCACGCCCAGCCCCAGGGCTCAGGGTGGCCCAGCAAGGGATGGAGGGAGGCTGACCCCCACTCTTGTCGAGCAGGACGTGAACCTGAAGATGCCCCGGAACAACCAGCTGCTGCACTTTGCCTTCCGGGAGGACAAGCAGTGGAAGCTGCAGCAGGTGCAGGGCCAGGGAAGAGGGGGCATCGGGGCAGCTTTGGCCACAGCCTAGGAAGCTGTTCCTGGCAACATAGCCCCAGAGCTGAGCCTTCCGGGCAGCCAAGGGGTTACCTGTCAGGGATCCAAACCCTCTCCCCAGGGCACAGAGGCACGGTGCTCACTTGTAGCACTCCTCAGAGAGCCACTCTTCTGCCCAGAGCTCCAGGGCCTCCCGTGCTACTCGGCATCTCCAAGGGAGCACTCTAAGCCCTTCACTGGCCTCAAGCTCCACCTCGTGGGCTTAGTCTATGGGAGTCTCCAGCTCCTGTTGTCACGTTTTCTTGGGTCATGTCGCCCAATTGGGATACCTCTGACCCCTGATCTAGAGAGAGCCCTCCACCCCAGTTCCTCAGACTTGTTTGTTACCGAGTTGGTTACATGCCTCTGGCTTCGGCAGGTAAACTGCACGTGGGCAGGGGCGAGGCTGCTGCCTGCCCCTGCTCCCCAGCTCCCTGGGAGGGTGCTAGACCCACAGCTGTGGAGTGAGCCAGGCAGGCCGAACCCTTCCAAGGAGAACAGCCCCTCAAAATGGGGAGCATTGGGCCACACTAAGGCCCCCACATTCCGAGGGGCCTGCCCTGAGCCTGGCACCCCAGTCCCTCCTTGCCAATGCCCAACCCAGGTAGCTATGTGGGCCACTGCTTCAGATCCAGGATGCCCGGAACCACGTGAGCCAAGCCATTTACCTCCTCACCAACCGGGAGGAAAGCTACCAGTTCAAGACGGGTGCCGAGGTCCTTAAGGTGAGCGGCCGGCAGAGGTGGGCTTTCCCAGACAGGCCCGCCAGCAAGTTGCTCTGTCACCCCTCAAAAGGCGCATGTGTGTACAGTGTAGCGTGGTGTTTCCCTGCCCAGACTCAGAAACGAGGCTCCAGCCCCGAACCTCAGCTCCGAGCTGCATGGCCACTCCCTCGGCCACCCTGGGCCCCGTGTCCTCACCGGTAAAGGAGAGGCAGCTAGAGCTAGCGCGTGCGGCTGTTAGAAGAGGAGCAGCCTCGGGCCAGTAGGGTGGCTGAGAGCAGGTGCCCTGACCGGCTCTGTCCCCTCAGGGGGTGGTCACTGACCCTCTCTGGGCCCCAGCCTCCTCATAGGAGGATGGAGCCAGTGGACTAAGGTCCCCTCCAAAACTGTGATTCCCTGAGAAGGTAGGAAGGCTCCGCTAGGTTCTCCACCCAGCGCTTCAGGTGCCCAGAGCACAGGGCACCCAGGGCAGCAGCCAGATGGCTCCCCAGGCCCTAGATGGGTGGCTTCAGCCGCAGCGTCCTCGCCTGTGAAAGCGAGCTGCCCGCCATGAGAGGACCCAGCCACCCCAAAGCCACCTCTAAGAAGCCCTCCCAGCACCCTTGACCCAGGCTGGCTGGGGGCCCTTCTTCAGAACACCTGTGTTCGTTTCACCCCCACCCCAAAGCACCTAATCCTGGGACCTAGTTCCCTGGGGACAGTATGCAGGGTCCCGTGCACTAGGACCTCAGCAGGTGGTCCACAATCCCTACCCAGCTAGAGCCCAACAAGCTGCATCCTGAACAATCCGCCATGGAGGGGGTGGGAGGGTGGCCTGGGAGAATGTTTAGGATGCAGCTCGTTACAGGGTCAGACCTCGCTTGGGGACCAGGGACACCCAGGGCAGGGTCGGCCTGAGCAGGGCTTCGACCAGAAGCTCCCTCAGGAAGTGGGGAGTGAACAGAGCTGGCTGTCCACCGCAGTGTGACCCCCTCCTTCCCCCAGCTGATGGACGCGGTGATGCTGCAGCTGACTCGAGCACGGAACCGGCTCACCACCCCGGCCACGCTCACCCTGCCCGAGATCTCGGCCAGCGGCCTCACGGTCAGGAGCGGGGCACCAACTCCGGGAGGGCCACACAGCCCTGCAGGACCCCCCAGTTTTTGTGGTCACATGTGGTTTTCTGAGGTGGAGTCCTTGGCTTCCCTCCTGTGTACCCCCAAATATCTGACACCTGGGCCCCGCCCCGCTTACCAGGAGGAGCCACTGCTGCGGGCTGGGCTGCCTGGCCAGCTGCCCACTGACTACCCCCCCTCCCCCCTCCGCCTCCACAGCGCATGTTTGCCCCTGCCCTGCCCGCAGACCTGCTGGTGAACGTCTATATCAACCTCAACAAACTTTGCCTGACAGTCTACCAGCTACACCCCCTACCTCCCACCTCCACCAAGGTGAGGGCCCCACACCTGCCCCGGCCCTGCCCGTGGCCCCACCCACCCCAGTGGGCAGGCCTGACGGCTGCTGCTCCTCTGCCTAGAACTTCCGCCCAGCTGGAGGTGCCGTGTTGCACAGCCCGGGGGCTATGTTGTAAGTATGTGGGTAGGTCCCGGAGCGGGGCTGGCCGGGGGCCAGGCCCACCTTCAGGAGCTTCATGCCCCTACAGTGAGTGGGGCTCACAGCGCTTGGAGGTCAACCACGTGCACAAGGTGGACTGTGTGATCCCATGGCTTAATGACGCGCTGGTCTTCTTCACCGTGTCCCTGCAGCTCTGCCAGCAGCTCAAGGACAAGGTGGGCGGGCAGCCATGATGGGGATGGGGGGGCAGTTCCAGGAGCTCCCATGCTACCTCCAAAGGGCCTCAAATCTCAGTAGGCGGACCCTGGCATTGCTAACAATACTGCACACACAACACACACACACACACACACACACACACACACACACACACACACTGCCCTTGGCAGACCCTGCTGAACCCCCTAATAACTACCCACCCCCAGATTGCGGTCTTCTCCAGCTACGGGAGCTGCAGACCCTTCTGAGCAGAATGCCTGGGAGCCTGCTCCACTGCACCCAGATCCAACCATCCACCCCTCAGCCCCGTGCGCCACTGAAACCAGGAGCCAGGGCACTGCCCACTATTTATTCCCCTTTGCCCCCGCCCTGGAGGGGTCAGGAGGCCCACATTCCAAGCCCTGCCCTCCACAGGGACCTTTGGAGCCAGGGTGAGGCTGGCCAGCTCTCCTTTTCCTTTTCCTGCTGAGCTATCCCCAGGGCCCAAGGTGGCTGTCCTCCAGCCACAGGGCTAGGGGGCTGAGCTGGACAGGTGGCCTGGCTACACGTCGATGCCCATGACCCCTGAGAAATAAAGAGCATTGGACTTTACCTGGAGAGACTCTGTCTGTCTGGGTGGATGGGATCAGGGACCCCTGCACTTCCCACCAAAGCATCTAACTGCAAGACCTGGATTCCCCAGACCCACCCGAGCACACGGCCCAAACCAGCAGGCTTCCCCGCACCAAGGAGTGATAATGGGAACCCAGGGCCCTGAGTTTGAGACCAGCCAGCCCCACCCTGTCTTCCAGGAGCTCAGTGGTCCCTTCAGGTCTTTCAGCTCCGGTGTCACACCACACACACATCTGTGTTGGCTAAAGGTGCACAGGGACCAGGCAGTAGCACTGGAAACAGCCCCTCAGGCCCAGGCAGTGAGGAAGGGGCTGCTGGCGGGACTCCGATGTTAAGGCTCCAGAGCCAAGTTGTCCACCCCCTTGGGGCTCCGCTGTGGGACACAAAAGAGGGGGCCTGGTCATACATAAGCGAAGGAGGGCCAGCACCCGAACTCCTGTGCCATGCTCAATGCCCAGGCACAGGGAGGCCAGTGGGCTCACCTTGTGGGACCTGGGGGAACCGCCGCAGCAGCTGCAGCAGCAGCAGTGGATGACCACGAGCAGCAGCAGGAACAGCACCGTGCCTGGGGACGAAGACAGATGTCCAGACGTGTCCCTGCACTGCCTGGGACCGGGCTGGGATGTGTGGGGGCCGGAGGGGCGGCCACACTCACCGACGAAGGTGAGGAAGACAACAAAGGCGGCTGTGTCCCACGACGACTGGAAGAGCTCCCGGCTCTGCAGCTTTCCTAGCACCTCTTGCGCTGCGGCCTCCAGCTCCCGCCCCAGGCCCTCAGCCGATGGGGCCATCACCGCGCGTGTCCTGGGCACCACTGCCCCACCCCCCAGCAGAGCCACCTCAGAACCCGGAGCTCCTTGGGGCTGGCTACACTGCCACTGCCAGGCCCAAGACAGGACCTACTTCCGCCCTGGATTCTGTTGGGCCCCATGCCCAGCGCCTGCTGCTGGTACATACCCGCTCCCTCCCAGCTCAGGTCCAGCCTCCCCTCCAGTCCAGCCCACGATCCAGCTCTGAGCAGCACCCCCTCCCTGCTGCCCAACCTCAGACCACCTCACCTGCCACAGAGACTGACTCCCCCCCGCCAGCCAGGCAGCTCCTGAAAACAATGCTTCCTGCTTCCGGATCCTCTGCCACCAGAGGCCTACCTTGGCAACCAGCCCCGCCCTCCCCAAGGGACAGCCAGGTGCTAGCAGAGCTCAAGGGAGTGGGGCCCAGAGCTACCCTCTGAGCCCAACAGGTGTGAAGTTCCCTCCCGTGAGGCGGCTATCGCTGGCGGTCAGTTTGTTCATCCTGGGGGATCTTGGCTTGTCTCTATATCCCAGAATACCCAGGGGACACTCAGCCAACTGAGAACGCCAGGGTATACAATTTGTTTGCATGCTCCTGGGGTGCCTTCAAGGGGTCCTGGGCACATACTGGGGTGCTAACCACAAGGTCAGTAGTTCAAGTCCACTGACTTCAGTTGGCAAGGTTGACAGCCTCAGAAATTCGAAGGGACCTCGCTACCCTGCCCTGTAGGGTGACTGTCCATCAGAACTGCTCCGTGGCTGGGAGTTTTGGATGGTTCCTTGAAGGACCTCTGGTGGTGGCACTGTGGTTAAGCACTTGGCCATAACCTCAAGGTAAGAGGTATGAACACACGTGGCACCTCCCTCTCCCCAGGAGAAAGGTGGGGCCCTGATTGGCTTGGAAATTGGAAACCCTGCAGCACAGCCAACTCCCAGAGATCCTGTATGACAGGGTAACACTGCCTCTGTGGGCTCCTCAGACTAAGTCTGGGCTTCCTCCTGACTCAGCGAACTACCTACCCCTGTGTTTCTGAGACTAACTATGGGAGTGAAAGCTTCGTCTTCTTCCACAGAGCCACTGCTGGTTTCAAACCACTGACCTTAAGGTTAGCAGCCCAACACATAACCCACTATGCCACCAGGGCTTCCAGAGGGTGCTTTGCTCTGGCCCAGAGGACAGTGGTTGGTTTGGAGGTTGCGGCTCTTTGGGCAGCCAGGATGTTCCTGCATTGCACTAGGAGCGCGCAGGCCTGACTCTCGACTTCAGCCCTTCCCAGGGGTGGTGATCACCCCTCGTGTGAACTCTGGCCCAGAACTTGAGGCCTGCAGCTCCTGACCTCAACCTCGACATCTCTGGGGCAGACAGGTTCAGGGATAGGCCTTCGTGAGCCCTACCAGGGGCCCGAGGCTGTGCCCAGCCCTAGAGGATGGCTTGGAGTTGCAGAAATGGCCTCTTGGTGTGCTGTGTGGTTTATCAGGGAAGAAGCTGCCGGTCACTTCTGCAAGGCTCTGACCCTGCTGCTGGGTGTCCATCCATCGCCGGCCTTCTCCCTCAGAACCATCTGGCAGCTGGAAAAACCAAGGCCACCATTGCAAACCTTGGACCCAATCGCTGCCGTGAACACGTGGCTGTGGAGCTAATCTTTCCATTCTACGGGATCCGTGATCTAGAATGGGCCTGCTGGGCTATATGCCCTCTGGACTGTCTTGGGGGGGATTCGTTTCCTTGTCCCACCCAGACCCCCCAGAGCAGCAATAGGAGCCAGGGGCCAGGAGTGGCGAGGGTGGATCAGCCATCTGGCCCCAGACCCTAGCCCAGCCCTTGACACCCCTCTCTGTCTCCATTTTCTGTCTGTGGAGGGGGTTTATTCACAGCACCCACCTCCTGGGGTTGGCATGAGAATTAGAAAATCTCAGACATAAGTGCTTTCACAGTGCCTGAACCCCACCACAGACCCCCATTGGGGTCGATGCCAACTCACAGCGACCCAAAAGGACAGGCTAAAGCTGCCCTTGTGGCTTTCTTTATGGGAACTGAAGGCTTCCTCCTCCTGAGAAGCAGCTGCTGGGCTCAAAGGGTGGACATTGCCATTAACAGCCCAATGCATACCCACAGCTTCCCCAGGGCTTCTTGAAAAGCACAATACCTCCCCGAAAATAAACTCACCGACCCATAGCAACACTACAGGGCAGGATGGAAGCGAAAAACCCAGCCCTATTGCTGCCAGGTCATCATGACCCTACAGGACCGAAGAGAAGTGGTCCCACTGTCCCAAGACAGTCATTTTTACGGAAGCAGACAGCCTCATCTTTCTCCCAAAGAGCCTGCAGCTACCTTAGAACCGTCAACCTGTCAGCAGCCAAGCACTTTAACCACAACCACCAGGGACCTGTTAGGAGAAACCAGTCCCTGGAGAAGGGAGGAGCAGGGAGAAAGGTAAAGAACACACAGATGGATTGACAGTGACCGCAACAACAGGCTCGGGCACGGGGACAATTGTCAGCCTGGCGCAGGGCGACGACGTACGCCAGGTCAGAGCTGACTCAACAGCGCCTGACAACAACACCACCAGCAACCACGAGGAATCTTCTGCGAAGCTGTGCGATCCCTATGGTTATGAATCAGAATCCGCTTGGTGATCGTGGGCTTGGATCAGTTCCTACGGAGGTGGCCTCCCTCTGAGTCTTCAGAATCCTGCAATGCTCACCTAAGAGCCCTGGGGGCTTAGCGGTTACACGTTGGGCTGCCATCCACAGGGTCAGCAGTTCGAAACCACCAGCCACTCTGTTGGAGAAAGAGGAGGCTTTCTACTCCCATACAGAGTTACACTCTGGGAAACCCACAGGGGAGGCCATTCTCTGTGCCCTGGAGGACTGCTGGGAGTTGGCTTTGAGTCAACGGTAGGGAGATTGGCATTTGGATTACGCTCAGAGATAAGCCACTGGGATGGAAGGCACTACAGACACAGTCGCTGCCCTCGAGGACAGGCATGCCGGCCATGATGCGGACCGTGCACAGCCAGGCACCGTGTCCCTCTGTGGGCCAGAGCCACCTCCAAATGATGAACAGTGACCACAAGCCCTTTCTAGAACAAGACCTCATGGTCCCTGGGGCAGAGGATTTGCTCAGCCCGCAATGCTTGCCCGGAAACAACAGTCTTGTGAAGTGTCTTCAAGTTGAATTGCCGTGCCGGCAGAGGGCTGTCCTGGCAGAAGGCTGTCCTGGCTGTCCCTGGGAGCAGGACCTCACACTTGCTGGAGGCCCTCGCAGAGACGGACGGACACAGTGGCCATGACAACAGGCTCCAACATCCAGCGCTGTGAGGGGGTTTGCTCTGTGGCACACAGGGTTGCTGTGGGCTAGGACAGAACGTGGTGGAGACAATCAGGAGGGCTGAAAGCGCCATCTACAGGAAGCAGAGCAAGCTAACCAGGGGACTGTGTCTGCAACTGCCAATGTGCGGGACCGGGGGGTCATGGTTAGGCTGTTGGGCTGTTCGAAACCACCAGCCGCTCCTTGGGAGAAAGTGAGGCTTTCTGCTCCTGTAAAGAATCACAGCTCAGAGACCATGTCTGCCCTGTCCTATGGGGTCGCTGTGAGTCAGCAAGGTTAGCTTTTGAATTTGGAAGGTGCACTGGACGCCTGGACTTCTCTTACGTGAGCAGCAAGGGTCAAAATCCCAGCTCAGTGGCGGTGAGCTTGATGTGGGGTTTTATCATTTTAAACCCTCTGGTAACAACAGCACAGGCCAAAGAACACGAGCCTCGTTCTGGCCCTGAGCCAGGCCAGGCCCCCGTGACCAGGGAGGGAGTCCTGGGGTCCTTGCCCCTAAATAGGGGCTCTTCTATCACCCATGACAAGGTTGTGAGAGGCAGGCCCAAGGTCACACACCCTGCCTTCCCTCCCCTCATTGGGCACAGGAACCCTCAGGTGGGGGTCATAGGAAGGGGCGGAGCTCAGATTCTTCGGTTATAACTGTCACCTCTTGCCCCCTGCTGGACTACACCAGGGCCTGCCTGGACAGCAGCAGCTCCAACCAGCTCCCAGGGGACCCAGGCCACCAGGTGCGCATGGAGTTTGCTGCTCTTTGCGGTTCGCCCGCCACGCCCAGCCCACTCTCAGCCCCCCACCCCAGCCCCTCTGCGCTCTATTGCCAGCCTCGGTCCCACCTCCCTAGGAGGCCAGCTCCTCTGCTCCCCGCCCCCCCCCCCAAGTCTGCTGCTATTCCCTTTGGGCTCCTGCCATCTGAGTCCTCATCTCTGTCCTGTGTCCCTGGGTGGAGGGGTCAGAGTGAAGGTCAGGAAGCCACTCCTCCTGAGCCCCCTCCCCAAGTGCCCTGCTGGGATAGGAGCTGCCTCCCATGACCCTCCCCCTCCCCACCCCTGTACTCTATGGTCCTCTCTGTAACTCCCCTCCCACTCAAGGCCTGGCCAGACTCCCTCTGCTAGTGGGGAGGAGCGATGGAGAGGAGAAATAGCCTGACCTGGGAGCCTCTAGCCTGGCTGGGGGTGGGGGGTGTGGAAGCAGGACCAAAGGGGCAGACCTCTGGCGTCAGTGTGTCTCAGGGTGAGGGCCAGTTTCCCTCACAAAAGCAGCTCTCTGCAGGTACCGCTCACCAGCACCCACAGGTCCAAGGGCTTGGTGCTGACTCGGGGACAGGATGAGTCCTGCAGGGTCAGGGCCTCCCCCTTCTGTTACCCACCCACACGACCCTTCTCGCCACCCCACTTGGTGGTAGGCGCTATCATCCCCTCGGCTCCATGGACCCCATGAGAGGGTCCCCGTCCCCCTGCTCCTCGCGGCCCCCCAGCCCCAGGAGCCCGGTCTGTGGTGAGAAGCTCAGCAGCTACGTGGGCATCGAGGCCGTTCTGGACCAGCTCAAGATCAAAGCCATGAAGATGGGGTTTGAGTTCAACATCATGGTGGTGGGTGAGTGTGGGCTGGGCCCATGGGGCAGAGCGCCTCAGCCACTCCATCTTCTAAGGGGACCCCATACTAGCACCTCACAGGTCTTGGGGAGCCCTGGAAGCACCTCGAGGTTAAAGGACTGTCATGGTCAGAGGCAGGCAGGCCTTCTGGGAAGGGGCCGCCGAGGGGGTTCAGAGAAGGGCCTGTGGAACCTGCCGACACAGAGCTGCCCACACTCGCGGGTGTGGCTCACAGAGATGCCCAGAGCTGGGCACTTGGGGGGTGGGCTTCTCCATCCTTGGATTGCTCTTAGAAGGCAGCTGACTCTCCCAGAAGTGTCACCCAGCCTTTGGAGCGCAAGGCCCGCAGTGTCCACCCTCCTGAGGCTCTGTCCTCACACAGGGCAGAGCGGCCTGGGAAAGTCCACCATGGTCAACACCCTGTTCAAGTCCAAGGTGTGGAAGTCCAGCCCGCAGGGCCTGGGGGGGCCCACACCTCAGACGCTGCAACTGCAGTCGGTGACCCATGGTGAGTGTGCCTGCCCTGCCCCGGGCCAACCTCCCCCTTTGGCGGCCCATGGGGAGTGTGCCCCCATCCCACCCCCACGCTGCCCCACCACCCTCTCCCCCTGCAGTGATTGAGGAGAAGGGCGTGAAACTGAAGCTCACAGTGACCGACACACCCGGCTTCGGGGACCAGATCAATAATGACAAATGGTGGGTCCCCCAGGGGAGGGGGCTGAGCCCCTGCTGCCTCGATGGCCCACCCACCTTCTGGGAATCACCCCAGCGCTGCAGCCTCCCAGCTGTGGCAGCTTGGGGCCTCAGTTTCCTTGCCTGTGTAACAAGGGCACTGAGCTATTCCTCGATAATAAGAACAGAGACCAAGCCAGTCCATCCAGCTCAGAGCACCCCTTGGGACAGTAGAACAGCCCTGTGGGATGCTGAGGCTGCAGATCTTTCCAGGGGTAAATAAACTTCATCCGTCTCCCCCAGGATGGCTGGTAGGTTCGAACTGCTGGCCTTGTGACTAAGAGCCCAACGGATAACCCATTACGCCACCAGGGCCCCCCGAGAAAGCGACCCCACCAGGAATCCTGGCTGTCTTGTAGGACCCTAATTCCTGGCTCTCCAATGCCCTGTATTGAGGGTTTACTGAACACTACACCGCAGGCTGACACAGTTACACCACGGGCTGACACACGTACAGAGCGGGCTGATATGGGTACACAGCAGACTGACTCGGGTGCACATCAGGCTGAAAAGGGTACTCAGCAGGCTGACAGTGGTCCACAGCAGCCTGACACGGGTACACTGCAGGCTGATACCAGTAACAGCAGGCTAAAAACAGGTACACAACAGGCTGACAACAGGTACCCAGCAGGCTGACACGGGTACCCAGCAGGCTGACACTGGAAGTCCTACTCAGTAAGCTGGAGTAGAGCAGAGTTCGCATCCTACATGGCTGAGGATGTAGGAGCCCTGTCGGGGCTCCTTCCCAGGTGTTGAGGCTGGGACAAGCTGCAAGCTCTCTGAGCCTCAGTTTCCCTCACTGCGGCTTGACCTTGAGGTCAAGCAGGACAGAGGTTGAGAACAGGCAGGCATGGCACCCCAGGCGTGGCTCTGAGGCCAGGGCCCCTCCCGCCCCCCAGCTGGGACCCCATCCTGGGCTACATCAACGAGCAGTATGAGCGGTACCTTCAGGAGGAGATCCTCATTACCCGGCAGCGTCACATCCCCGACACCCGAGTGCACTGCTGCGTGTACTTTGTGCCTCCCACTGGGCACTGGTGAGGGGGTGCCTGCTGGGGGCGGGCCAGGGGGGCCCTGGCACCACCCCTCTCTCACATGCTCGCTTGACACCCACCAGCCTGCGGCCCCTAGACATTGAGTTCCTGCAGCGGCTGTGCAGGGCGGTGAACGTCGTGCCGGTGATCGCCAGGGCCGACAGCCTGACCCTGGAGGAGCGAGAAGCCTTCAGGCAAAGGGTGGGCAGGGTGCCCTAGGGTGGGGGGGAGGTGAGCTAGGGGGGTGTCCAGTGGGCTGAGGCCACCTGAGTGTCGCTTCGCCCCCAGATCCAGCACAACCTGAAGATGCACAGAATTGACGTGTACCCGCAGAAGTGCTTTGACGAGGAGATCAATGACAAGCTTCTCAATAGCAAGATCCGGGTAGGGCCGTGGCCGAGGGTCCAGTTCCCATGGAACCATCCTTCCGTCCTTTCCACCTAATGACGTAGCTCCTTGGACAGCGGGAAGCACTCTTGTGTTTCTAGCAGTTCTGGCTCTCCAGCTAGGAGCCCTGATGGTGCAGTGATTACAAGTTGGGCTGCTACCTGCAAGGTCAGCAGTTCAAACCACCATCCGCTCCAAAGGAGAAAGATGAGGCTTTCTACTCCCCATAAAGAGTTACCGTGCTGGAGGGGGGCGCGGGGAAATGGGGAGCTAATAACAATGAGACCAGGAAAGAGTAAAATGTCCTAAAAGTGTGGTGCAGATTGTACAATTCTTCTGATTAAGCTCTTGAATTGTAGAGTGTGTGAATGATATGCCCATGAAACTGTGTGGGGAAAAGAGTGACCGTCTTGGAAACCCACAGGGGCAGTTCAACCCTGCCCCTGGAGGGTCGCTATGAATCGCAACCACCTGGAGAGCAGCGAGCTTCCCTAACTCGCCAGCTGCAAACTGGAGACGAGTCAGAACGGACTCCCACGCGTGACCAGCCCACAGAGTACAAGACACAGGTGGCCTCCCAGACCTGCATTTGATTTGGGGTGTGGGTGCAGGCTAGGTCAAGACCCTCCATCACAGCTCTCCGAGAGAAAAAGACAAATGTTTCCGTAGCATTTCTGCAGCTGGCTGACGCTCAGAGTCCTCGTGACCCCGCGTGGCAGAGCAGAGCTGCTCCACAGGGGCCTCCGTGGCTGTCATCTCAGTGGGCAGCGGTCAAGTGCGCAGCCCGATAACCCCCGGGGCTTTGGGGCCGGAAGCAGCTTGCCAGTCTGTCTTGCTCAGAGCCTCGGGGTGGGACCAAACCACCTACCTTCAGCAGCAGGGTGCTGAGCTGAAGCAGCTGCTCCCCTGAATGGCTGCGCCCACCACTTCTCCCGCCCCCTTTCCCACCCCCTACCTGCTCTGCCATCTCCCCAATGTAGCCCACCTCCTATACATCTCCCACCCCCTGCAGGATCGGATCCCGTTCGCAGTGGTCGGGGCCGACCGAGAGCACATCGTGAATGGGAGGTGTGTCCTGGGCCGGAAGACCAAGTGGGGCATCGTCGAAGGTCAGTAAGGGGCCACAGAGAAGGTTTAGGTGTGACTGGGTCAGAAGGGGCTAGGCTCCAGGGCGGGCCTGTTGTGGGTGAGCCAACAGACAGGACAGCAAGTCCCCTGGCCCTCAGGCCCTCCCCACCGTCGCAGTAAAGTGGAGGCGGCTCAGCAGAAGGAAGACTTGCCATATGCAGGGAGCCCAGCTCCCTCCGGAAGGCTCTACTGCAGAATCAGATGAGAATTTACCATGGGCCTCCTCTGGGCCCTTCCCAGGGACACAGGGAGACCAGGGCCCCCCCTCACCCCCCTGAGAGCTTCCATTCAGTGGGGCGTGGGGAGACATCAGTGTCCAAAAGAGGAGGCAATGACAGGTGAGAAGCAGCACATGAAGTGGGGGCTGTCTTAGTTACTGAGGGCCACCATCACAGATGCAGCTCTACTGGGTGTGTGGGAGTGTGTGTGTGTGTGGGTGTGGGGGGGCTTTAACAAACAGAAGTTTATTTTTTCACAGTTTAGGAGGCTGGACATGTGAGATGCTGGCAGCCAGCTCTAGGGGAAGGTCCTCTCTCTCTCTCTCTCTCTCTCACTGTCTTCTCTCCTCGTTCTCTCCCTCCTCTTCCTTCTTCTTTTGTATCAACTTCTCCTTCTCATCGCTCCTCTTTTCTTCCTTCTCTCTCCCCCCTTCCTCTCCTCTCTCTCTGGCAGCCCTTTCTCTGGTGGAGGGAAGATCTTTTTTTTTTTTTAATCATTTTATTGGAGGCTCGTACAACTCTTACCACAATCCATCCATCCATTGTGTCAAGCACTTTTGTACATTTGTTTCTCTCATCATTCTTAAAACACTTGCTTTCTACTTGAGTCCTTGGTATCAGTTCCTCATTTTCCCCTCCCTCCCCGCTCCCCCCTTCCCCATGAACCCTTGATAATTTATAAATTATTACTTTGTCATATCTTACAATATCTGATGTCTCCCTTCACCCACTTCTCCGCTGTCGGTCCCCCAGGGATGAGGTTGTATGTAGATCCTTGTAATCCTTCTCCCTCACCTTCCCTCCACCCTACCAAGAGGGAAGGTCATTTGTCTCCTCTCAGCATCAGCTCCTTGGCAGTCTCCATGTGAGGTGGCATGTGCCTTCCTCTATACCTGCTTGCTTCTTCCTTCCTCTGTCCCTTTCGTAGCTCACACATACCCAACACTAGTTCCATCCCATTGACACACAGAGACACCCCATGCCAAGTGCGATCAGCACCTCAGGTATAAAGACCCAGGAACCCTGAAGTTGACTTCCGCTCCCAGTGACCCTATAGGCAAGGGTAGAACTGCCCCACAGGGTTCCCAAGGCTGCCATCTTTTGGGGTGAGCGGGTCGCAGCTTTCTCCAGCGGAGCCGATGGTGAGTTCCAACCTCCTCAGCTGTTCAGGTGACAGCCGAACACTTACCCACTGCACTACCAGGGCGCAGGCATCAGTTAGGATTTATATCACACCCTGGGAAGGGTGTGTGTGTGTGTGTGGTGATTCAGCCTGTGTGTGTGTGTGTGTGTGTGTGTGTGTGTGTGTGGTGATTTAGCCCCTCATAAGGCAGGTATGTGTGTGTGTGTGTGTGTGGTGATTTAGCCCCTCATAACACAGGGAGTTGCCTTAGGGAGTCAGGGAGGTCCCCCGCTGAGGTCTGGTCCTCTCATGATGCCAAAGCTCCCCGTCATGTGGATTCCAACTCCAGGTGCCCCTGTAGGACCCTGCGGGTTTTCCAAGACTGTAACTCCTGGTGGAGAAAGCCTCCTTTTTCTCCCAACGACCGACTTCAGTAGCCGTCCAGCCCTTAAGCCCTCAGCCCAGCCTCTGGAGGCTCTTTTCTAAGGATGATTATGGTACTGAGTGATGGGTGGAGTCGGGGCTTCAGCCCCTGCCCTGGAACCGCCTCTGCCAGTGAATGAAGGGGGAGGCATGGGGGGTGGGGAGCACTCAGTGGGGACCTGGTAGCTCTGTAGTACACAGTAGACGCTGAACAAATGTCCGTGCCTTGCAGTGGAGAACATCGCCCATTGTGAGTTTCCCTTGCTGAGAGACCTGCTCATCCGGTGAGGGTGCGAGGCCTGGGGGCTGGCGGGGACTCCATGGGATGCCCAGGCCTCAGCTAACCTAATACCCCACCCCCGCCCAGCTCCCACCTGCAGGACTTGAAGGACATCACCCACAACGTGCACTATGAGAATTACCGTGTCCTCCGGCTCAATGAGAGCCACTCACTGCCCCGAGGGCCCGGCTGGGTAAACCTGAGCCCTGCACCTTCCGGGTGCCCCCTGCTCATGCACAAGCCCTCCAAGGCCCATAGAAGAGTCCAGGAAGACTCAGATGACGACTGAGCACTCCCCACCCCATACCTGCGCTTCCCTGTGTACTAGAGCTTCTATTAAAGGTGGACATTGCTTCTCATGCAAAGCTGTGCTTTGCAGACCAATGGCACTTGGTAAATGGCTTCTTTTGAGCTTTTCTCAAATAAAAGTGTTGGAAATACATGGCTTGGATCACCATGTGCATCTTAGTCCCCAAAGTGACAGCCTTGCTTCTCAATACTTGTGTAGCAGGTTTAACCTGATGCAAACTAAAACTCACTGCCACTGAGTTGCTGCTGACTGACAGTGAGCCTACAGGACAGGGTAGAACTGCCCCTGTGGGTTTCTAGAACTGCAACTCTTTATGGAAGTAAAAAGCCCCATCTTTCTCCCAAGGAGTGGCTGAAAGTTTCGTGTCTGACTTCGTTTTCCTAGCGTCACACTGCGTACATCCCAACTCCTGGACTGAGTGGGAGGAAAGTGTTGGAATGAAACTACAAGCTTCGTCCGCCTTCATGATTCTGAGATGAGAGCTGGATTGTGCCCGGCTGCACCCACCAACTGCTCCAAAGGGATCATGTTAGAGCAGCGGTTCTCAACCTGTGGGTCATGACCCCTTTGGGGGGGTCGAATGACCCTTTCACCTGGGCCGCCTGTTTTATAACAGTAGCAAAATTACAGTGATGAAGTAGCAACGAAAATAATTTTATGGTTGGGGGATCACCACCACGAGGAACTGTA